TACTTTTTTCATAGTTCTCTAATAAAAGGTAAAGTGGATGGAAGCATTTTCTTTTCTCGGCTTCTATCTTTTACCTCCTAAATCTTACAGGAAAGTTTCAGGTAGCACAATTGCTACGATTTTCTTTGTCTTACAAATAAGAAAAATGGCAGAGGGTTTTTAAGTTTCTAGATTGCTTTTTCCTTGTTTTAAAATTAGAGGGCCAGAATACAACTGTGGTTAAAAACACTGTCAAGAGTTTCAGATAATTAATATGATTACTAGAAGTTTGCATATTTAATTTAAGAATAAGAATCACAACTCCATAATTGTCTTTTATATACAAAGGTGTTATTACCAAGCCAGTCCCCTCTTGTGGATTTTTTAGTTTTGCTAGTTTCTTCTCTAGGAAGTGGTATGGATTCTTCTGTTTACATGATATTTTGAAATAAGGTATCTCAGAGAAACCAATTTTAGTTTTATATCTTCCCTGGAAAATGTTGGAGCATACAGGCAGAATGGCTTTCATTCTTTTGCATTTGGTTCCAAAGAAAAAATTTCTACTGTATGGTTTACTATATTTTCCTTCAGTTAATGCCCTGAGTTGCTTTATGGAATGTGGTTCCCAATTATCTTATTAGTCCTCAAAAGCAGTAAAGAAACTCTAGAAATCTAACTATAGAGAATCTTTTACAACTGCCACTTAATACCACCCCCTAAATTCTAATAGTTTAGAACCTTTAAGAATCCTGACTTAAGTCATCCTGCTGGAAGATGCTTTAATTATCTTAGAAGACTCAGTGTTTTAGAAAACACTTAGAATTTTGAAGAAAAAGAAAGAAGCCCTATTTACTGCTAGACTTATAGTTGATCTAGAATTACAGCAAATATATATTTGCTATTGTTTTGGTCACATAAATACATAGGCCCATCTCTGTCTACTTGTAAATCCTGCAGTTGATTGCTCAGACACAGACAAAACGATAGATTTGGCTTCACTATTAAAGTTAATTTACAGTCATTTGATGTGGTTTCAGATCTTTGATGATTCATTTTTAAGAAATGATTTCCACCTCTATGTTGGATTTTACCGTTGAATCTAATTAATTTTGAATATATCTGGGGTGCCTGGAAGGCTCAGTTGGTTAGGTGTCCAACTCTTGGTTTCAGCTCAGGTCATGATCTTGTGGTTTTGTGGTTCATGAGTTTGAGCCCACATCGGGCTTTGTGCTGTCGGCATGGAGTCTATTTGGGATTCTTTGTCTCCCTCACTCTCTGCCCCTCCCTGCTCATGTGCTCACTCGCTCTCTCAAAAATAAACATTAAAAAATTTTTTTTGAATACATTCATTTTATTTCTTGGAATATAGGAGTTTTTCCTTAGTGTTGTTAATGAAGAAAAACGTGTATCTGAGAAGAAATGGAGTTTAGCAGGATCTTTAATGATACAAAGGGAAGTATTTAAAAGTATTTCCATTGTGTACTACTGTGTCAACATTTATAATTAAGACTATCCAGGAATTACTCAGTTCTGAGAAAGCTGGCATTATCTAAGGTACTGCAGTTGTTTAGTCAGATAAAGCAAATATTTCATTTGACTTCTTTGGAAATTAAGTATGCATACTATTTCTAGTCATCTAAGTAACCTGGTTGAAATGATTACTGAAACATATATAAACCTCATAAAAATTATTTCTATTGTTTCAGTTAACTATAGGGCATATAATCTAACATATCCAGCAAAAATAGTGTTTATTCCATTATTGAATAGTGGAATCCACTTAAGTGCAGATCATCCCTGGTAATTTAATTGTATGCTAGACATTGCGAATTTTACTTTTTTGGGTGCTAGATATTTTTGTATTTCTTATATTCTTTAGCTTTGTTCTGGGACACAGATAAATTACTTGGAAATAGTATGATCCTTTTGGGCTTTGCTTTTGAAGATTACTTAGGTGGGACCAGAGCACTGTTCCCAGTAATTCTAATTCTTTCATAATACTAACACAAGACCCTTCTGAATACTCTACCAATCATGAACTTCCCTGTGTGGTTGAAATAGGTACTATTCCTGGCCGTGTATGGGTTCTGAGTACTGTTGTCTGCGGTGATTTTGGATGGTTCTTCCCTGGCTGTGCATAGTTTGTACCTATGTTTTTGCTGCAGCACTCTGCTGAATTACTTGAGGGTATTCAAGTACCTTGAGGGTACCTGCCAATCCCTCTAGTTTCTGTAAAGCTCTCTCCTCTCTGGTACTCTGCCCTAGAACTCTAGCTGCCTTGGTCTCTCCAGACTGTTAGCTTCATCTCAACTCAGTGGCTCCCCCTCTATGCCTTGCAGCTATTTTTTTTTTTAAGTTTATTTATTTGTTGCAGGGAAGGGGGGGCACAAAGACAGGGAGAGAGGGAGAGAGAGAATCCTCAGCAGGCTCCATGCCCAGCGTGGAGCCCAAAGTGGGGCTCTAACTCATGACCATGAGACCATGACCTGAGCCAAAACCAAAAGCCTGACGCTTCACTGAGTGAGCCACCCAGGCACCCCTGCCTTGAGGCTTTTAAACTCTAACCAGACAGTAAGCTGGGGCTCCTCATTTGTTTCCCATCAATCAGAGATCAGTCATTATTGTTGATATCCAGTGTCTTGGGAACTATATTTCATATATTGTGTCCAATTTTGGTTGTTTCAGAAGGAGGGCAAATCCAGTCCATTATTCCGTTTTTGTCAGAAGCGGACTAATGTCAGATTAAATATTAAGTGAATATTAATCTTCTAGTTTCATTTTTCAAAACCTAGGTTATGAGTTTCTGATGACAGTGTCTCCAACTAGGATTATTTTTCAGGGAGCAAGCTCATTACTTAATCTAGGCAGAATCAGATGATTTCTTAACCCCTTCTCAGTAAAACTTGTTGTGACAGTATCTTTTTATTACATGTATTTACTTATTTATTATTTTTTATTAAATTTAAAGCAGTGTTCTATAGAGATTTAAATTTAGACAATGCACAGTTGCTGTACATTTAAAATAATGACCCAAATTATTTTTCACCTGTTATCTTTATCCTTTCCTCCCTCTGACAAATGGTGAAAATATAATGAAACTGTTATTGAGGCATTGTAAATGGTCTCTGTGCTCTTTCAGAAAACCAATTGGAACTATATATTAAAAGGTATAAAAATTGTTATATCCTTTGAATCATTAGCCTTATTTATAGAACTATAGCCAAATAAATAATCTCAGATTATGTAAAAAGCTGTATCTCTAAGAATGTTATTCTTAAAAAAATTTTTTTTTAATGTTTATTTATTTTTGAGACAGAGAGAGACAGAGCATGAACGGGGGAGGATCAGAGAGAGGGAGACACAGAATCTGAAACAGGCTCCAGGCTCTGAGCTGTCAGCACAGAGCCCGATGCGGGGCTCGAACTCACGGACCGCGAGATCACGACCTGAGCCGAAGTCAGCCGCTTAACCGACTGAGCCACCCAGGCGCCCGACTAAGAATGTTATTCTTGTTATTCTTGGTGCTAATCATAATGGAAATAATTTTAGGTAAAAACATTGTCCAGTAAGGAGTTAAAACCCAAAATATATCAAGAACTTTGATAACTCAACAACAAAACTCCCCACACAACCTAGTTCAAAAATTGGCCAGGGCGCCTGGGTGGCTCAGTTGGTTAAGTATCCAACTCTTGATTTCGGCTCATGTCATGATCTCATGGAGCCTGCTTGGGATTCTTTGTTTTCCTCTCTCTCTCTCTGCCCCTCCCCTACTTGTTCATTCTCTCTCTCTCTCTCATAAGTAAATAAACAAACATTTAAAAAAAAGCTGGGGTGCCTGGGTGGCTCAATCAGTTAAGCGTCCAACTCTTGGTTCTGGCTCAAGTCATGATCTCATAGCTTGTGAGTTCCAGCCTGCATCAGGCTCTGCTCTAACAGTGTGGAGCCTGCTTGGAATTTTCCCTCCCTCCCTCTCTCTGGCCCTCTCCCACTCATGCTCTATCTCTCTCTCTCAAATCAATCAATAAATAATTTTTAATAAGTTATTTAAAAAAATGGGCAAAAGACTTGAATAGACATTTCTCCAAAGGAGATATACAAATGGCCAGTAAACACATTAAAAAAAAAAAAATGTTTATCTTCACTAGCCAGTAGGGAATGCAGATCAAAACCACAATGAGATACCACTTCATACCCATTAGGAATGCTATTATAAAAAAAACACAGAAAATAACAAGTGCCAGTGAGGATGTGGAGAAATTGGAACGAACTCTTGCGCATTTCTGACGGGAATGTAAAATGGTACAGCTACTGTGGAAAACAGGTAGTTCCTCCAAGTGTTGAACATATTATTACTGTATGACTTAGTAATTCCACTTCTAGGTATAACACACCAAAGAACTGACAGCAGGGACTCAAACAGATATCGAACACCCATAAACATTGCAGCAGTATTCACAGTAGCCAAAAGGTGGAAACAACTAAAATGTCCATCAACAGATGAGTAAACAAAGTGTGTTATATACCTGCAATGGAATATTAAAAAGGAGGGGAATTCTGACACCTACTACAAACGTGGATGAACTCTGAAGACATTATGCTAAGTGATAAGCCAGACACAGAAAGACAAATAGCGATTCCACTGATAAATGATTCCACTTATATGAGGTACCCAGAGTAGTCAGATTCAGAGACAGAAAGTAGAATAGTAGTCTCCAGGGCCTAGAGGCAGTTATTGTTCAATGGGTGCAGAGCTTCAGTTTGCAGTGTTAAAATCTGGAGATGGATGGTTGCATACCACTTTGAATGTACTTTAATGCTTAAAAGTGGTTAAAGATGGTAAATTTTACGTTATGTATATTTTACCATAAGTCAGATATATGTCTTTATTAGGTAGGGGTGTGTGTGTGTGTGTGTGTGTGTGTGTGTGTGTGTGTGTGTGTAATTAAATAAATAATTCACTCTCCACAAAAGAGTAACCTAGGCAATGCTGATCAGACAATCCCACTCTTTTTCCTCTCCAGGAGTGACACACGCGGCCATCTGGGCAGCGTGCATTTCTTATCTCAGTGCAGCAGTTCCCCCTGAGCTGAGGACGTCTGCTCAGGGCATCCTGCAGGGCCTTCACCTAGGTTTGGGGAGAGGTTGTGGTGCCATGATCGGAGGCGTATTAGTCAATTATTTTGGTAAGAATGACTTTCTCCTTTTCCTTTCCTTCGTTGTTGAAAACATGACTTTTTTTTTAGCAACACCTCAGTAAACACTTAAATTATTACTGAAGGTTGCCAGAAGTTAAAACTCCAGTCAGTATTCATATTATCTTCCTCACTTTCATGGTAGTCATAATTGTAAAGCTGAGTTCTTAAGTCATTAAGATGATTAGAGCCAGCCTGTAACTGTGCACACGTCTGTGACAAACAGCCTAATGAGATGCTACAGATACCTCAAAGGAGCCAAACAAATGAATGGACAGCATGTGCTTTTGGATTGAAGCAAAGTACCCTAACCTTGCTGATATTAATGCTAGAAGAAAGAAAATTCATCATTGTTATTCCAGAAAAATCTAGCTATTTGCTGGCTTTGGTAATGTCACTACATCTCTTGATAACACAATCTGTCTGCCCTGTCAGGTCTCCCTTATCGGAAATACAGGGGGTGGGGTGGAAATAAGATTACCCTGCTCAAGGGATCTGGACTGATCAGTCATCTATGGAAGGTGGGCCCAGGGTATCTGAATTTATAGCACTACTTGAGCTCTGCTGTCCCAACTACAGATTAGTAGGGCTGTTTAATAGTTAGGTAAATGGTGCTCAAAGAAGAGAGCACCACTGAGTTTTATGGTAAGAGGCACTCAGAGATAATCCTTTATAAATACAGTTTTAAAATTTGATGAATGACCAATCCAATACCAGCATCTGGGTCTCCTGGGACCTACCAGGCCTGTGTTTTTCCACTCTATGAAGCCACTGGCTATTCATCATTCTCTGGTTTGTCCTAAGCTCTGCTGCCTTTGCCCTGAACTTCAGCACATTGACAGCTGTAGATGAGGGCTCTCTGCATTTCCTGGAATTATTCTATGCAGTGCTCTGTTTTCACAGGGGCTGCCGCAACCTTTCGAGGAATCGGCATGGCCTGCCTGGTGATCCTCCTGCTTTTTGCCCTGATCCAGTGGCTGGCAGTGCCCGGTGAGGAAGAAGGTAAACCTGTCTATTCTTTCTGAATGGTTCTAAAGGTTGAAGCCATGGAGAAACCCAGAGGTGGTCACAGAATACATAGCAGACCTGCCTGGCTGGATTTTCTCAGTGGTGTATGAGAAAATGAATTGATGTGTACCATTGTTAGAAGCTGTGTCCTATGTTGAAAAGAATACTGGCCATTTTAAGTAGCTTGGGGGTTTTCTTGTTTTTGTTTTGTTTTATAGTACAAAGTAGTATAGGAAGTACTGGTTTTAAATTTCTCTGGTATTCTAAAGGGATTTTGCACATATAAAGCTATGCAGTAATTTTACTACTAGGGATAGGGAGTGGTATTACTTACTATGTTTTTGCCTTCATTTGAAAAAAGTGTCTTAAAATTTAAATTTGAAGTTTTCCCTTAGCCAGGCATGGCCTTCATTAAAATTGTTATATACAAAGGAGGTTATATCAAATATAATGTACAAGTTGAATCAGCTTTTTTTTTTTAATGAAGAAAGCCAACTAGTAGAATGGAAATATTCTTGCTTAACTCATGGGTCCCAGAACAAGGCTCATCTTCTTTGTCCTATCCTTTGAGGGGCATTTGTTTGCCTCAGGTACCTAAAATGCTTCTGTAAAGGGAAAAACTAGCTTATTACAGAAAACTCCAAGGCCGGTTTTAATGCTAACGAGCTATACAGAAAAGAGGACCAGTACTGGTCTTTCTCACATTTTTTTTCCTCATGATCCTAAATGGTCTATGCCTTCAGTAAAAGGCCAACAGAAACAGCTATTTCTGGCATTTCCTGTTTTGATGCTTATCTTTAAAAACTCAGTCCTGTAAGTGGGCCTAAGGCCACATTCATTATAACCCATGCCCACAGATTAAGTTATATCTAAGTTTAATGAAAAATATATTTCATAAACAAATACAAGTTAATGTCTATTAATCCCTATAAAGAGATCCTGCAAGATGAACATCACATCTGTTGCTCAGTACCTGCACCAAGAGGCCCCTGATACATAGCAATTTATTAATGTTGCCAAGTACACTAGCATGGGCTCATGGGATTGTCTGCTTATTTTGTTTAAATATGACGAAAACTCCAAAAAATGATTTAAACATGATTTTCTCTCCAGACAAGACAATGTTGGCAGAAAGGATTCCCGTGCCCTCTAGTCCTGTTCCCATAGCCACCATTGACTTGGTACAGCAACAGACCGAAGACGTCATGCCACGCATTGAGCCCAGACTTCCTCCCAAGAAAACCAAGCACCAGGAAGAACAGGAGGACGTGAACAAGCCAGCCTGGGGCGTCAGCTCCTCCCCCTGGGTGACCTTTGTCTACGCACTCTACCAAATTAAAGAGATGATGCAGCTAACAAGAGACAACCGTGCTCCTGAGATACAGCCTTTGCAGGTAAAGTCCCTACCTTAAGTGGGCTCAGTTGTGTTAATTATTCACTCACCAAGATTTATGGTAGGTCTAGTGGGCAAAATAAGACACACAAATAATTTTAGTATTCTATGACAAGTGCATTATAGAGGTGTATACAAGGTTGTGCAGAGGGAAAATTCCACCTTATGGAGCACAGGAAGGCTTCACAGAGAAGACATTTCTTGAAAGAAAGAAAATTTTAAAAATCCAATAAATTGTATATTTCTTTAAAATTTCAGTGTTGACAGGTACCAGTTCCAGTGAGCATATATGGTTCTTGCCATGGGAGACCGTTAACTATTAATTTCTGTAATTCTAAAATTCTAGTGGGGACATTATATATAATAGGACTTCAATAAATAATCTGATGAATTAATGAATTCTGTATGAGTCTAATGGGATACGCAACTTAGTGGAACTGTTGTTTTGCTGGTGGCCTCATGTGAAAAATAAAAAGTATGATTTTTCTTATCCCTGGAGATGTGGTCTCTCCTGAGTAAAGTCAAATCATGTTGATAAAACTGGGGGTAATTGTAACTAAAGCTATATACTGCCTTTGGAAATGATTAAGTGTGACTTCTATGAATAGTCTGGCTAAAGTAATGAGTCTACTTCCTTGTGTTTAATCATGTCCTTTTACTTGATGAGTCATGGTCAGCTATATATATTAGAGTAGCTTCCGAGGACACATAAAAAAGACAAAAATAAAGAGTAATTTGGATAATCTCCTTTTTAAAAAATAGTTTGAACTATGTTAGTTCAATTTCTCATGACTTTGCAAACTAACATGTAATATTTCTATAATTTAAACCAAATCTGATTTCTTCACCCATAATCATAATGCATCCTGGTGTATGCATGATCCTATTCATTTATCAAGATTATAAACTCACATGAATCCCCTGCCCAGTCAAAATGGAGAGTATCAGGGTGGGAGGAGCATATAAAGGATGTGAAGCAGGAGAAAGGATGAGATCTTCTGGTTGAATAGCAATGTTTTCATTACTTTGGGTACTCAACCTTATTTTTATGGAAGCCTATTAGGCTTATATATCATTGCACTTTTTTTTTTTCTGGCATGTTAGGATCAATAAAAACTGGCTGGTATGGCTTGGTTATTCTTATGAATAAGAAGTCATTATATTAAGATTTCTTTCCATTTTAGAATCAATCACAGAAATAAAACTTTTTTTGGTGCTCAGTTATTTGAAATGATATATACTAATTGAGAGAAAAACCCATTTTGCTTCTTTATTTATCTTGAGAGAGAGAGAGAGCACACACGCACAGGTGAGGGGCACAGAGAGAGAATCCCCAGCAGGCTCTGCACTATCAGTGCAGAGCCCAATGCGGGGCTCAATCCCAGGAACCGTGAGATCACGACCTGAGCCGAAATCAAGGGACGCTTAACCGACTGAGCCACCCAGGTGCCCCGGAAAATCTGTTTTTATTTTTTTCAACGTTTATTTATTTTTGGGACAGAGAGAGACAGAGCATGAATGGGGGAGGGGCAGAGAGAGAGGGAGACACAGAATCGGAAACAGGCTCCAGGCTCTGAGCCATCAGCCCAGAGCCTGACGCGGGGCTCGAACTCCCGGACCGCGAGATCGTGACCTGGCTGAAGTCGGACGCTTAACCGACTGCGCCACCCAGGCGCCCCATGTTTTTAGAAAAACATGTTTCCTGATTTGTATAAGTCAGAATGTATCACGGAATGTGGCAACATGGCATCTTACAGACATGCTGTGGGTGATGCGCTGGGGTATGCGTGTACTCCTAGTTTCTTATAGTGTATGACCTAAGTGGTTGTTGCCATTCTCTTTTTTCACGCAGATGTTCTGTGTTGTTTGACTTTTAGCGTGCACTTTAAATCCCCAAATATACATCAGGACTCTTAATTTCAGGACATTCTTTCCTGGCTTTGTGTCTGAGGCTGAGAAGCCTTACTTACTTTCTGTCAGACAAGTGCCTCCAGCTCTTGAATTCTGCAGTCTCAGCAAATGACCTGAGTTTCAATTCTATGCTGCTTGCTCAGTGACTTATCACAGTGATGGAGGCTCAGTAAACATTTGTCGATGTAAATTATTTTCCTAGTAGTAACAGGCATTTTGGTAGTGATGTTCCGTTATCCACAAGATACGTCTACTTACAGTGTTTGTGTTTTTCATGCGGCTTTGGCAGTTGCACATAGGAAAAGAGATGAAAGGTAAGACATTCTATCTTTATTCCTCTTACTTGTTCTTTGAAGTTACTTCAGGATGATCTTCCCATGTTTCCTATATCTTACTTGAAAGCATATAAAAAGTGTTGGATTTATTTGTTAGCACCGACTACAAAACATCTTTTCTTTTTTCCTTCCAGGGGACCAGTGAGAATCGGGAAAATTCTCTAGCTGGTGGAGTCCGGCCTGTCCCTTGTGAGACTCATTCTGACCCATCCAGAAACCAGCCATCCCCTCAAGCAGCAGCATCTCGGACACAGAGGAGCCCCACTCACCCCAGTGTGGACCAGCGTGTGGAGAAGGAGGACCAGCAGGCTCAGCCTGCCGCTGGGGGACACTGAGGGCTCCCACTCATCTCCCACCCTGCATGGAACTGGGCCCCTCTGCCAGGACAGAGGGAGAGGCTCCCTGAACCCAAGACATGCCTCACCTTGAGAAGCATAGCACTATATACTCTTCTAAATACCTGAACTCATCAACATGGAAACACACACACACACACACACACACACACACACACACACACACACAGAAGCTACAGTACATATTGGCAGAAACAGGTAAATTTCTATAATCCCACTGGAATCACAGAAGGGAAATAAGAGTTCGGTAAGGACTTCAGTTCTTTGGTTGGTTAGGTTAAGAACTGTAGGACTTCTTTGCCAGGGCAGTTAGGGTTGAAAGCAGCAGTTACACTAAGTAAGTGGAGGGAAAGAAAGTGTTTCAAGGTGAATGCTGATACAGTTTCCCTCTTTTGATTATTTATTCTAATTATTTGGTTCTTAATGCAAACTGGGAAGAAATAAAATATATCTATAATTTTGTTTCTCTTGAAGAGAACTATTTAAAAAATTACAAGACATATTTAAGAAGTAGCCAGATAAAAGTTACTAGCGTATATGCTTTTGTTTAAAAAACAAAACAGAGAAACAGGAAAAAGTTTCATCAGAAACTTGGCATATCTCTAGCAAATATATTTTTATATGTATATGTTATATAATGAAAATAGTCCATTCTTTGAGCAGCAAAAGCCGTACTGACTACCACAAACTAAGCTGAGCTTTAAATGCCTTTTGTTTTTAAATGGGCTTTAAGACAAGAGGACAGAATATTTCAAATCAACCAACCAACTCAGTATCCTATGGCTTGACAGACAAGGGTTTACCAAATATATTGATACTGTAAATAGCCTCTATCACTATTCCACAATTTTATAGTGATTTGGGCTCTAAATAGCTGATGGAATTTTTTTAAAAAATCACTGAATTCCTAAGGGTTTCTTTAATTAAGCAGTACTATTTACAAATAACAGTATAAGATTTAAGTGCCTGGGAGAGGGATTATAATTTTTAAAAATTACACAATGGGTAAGTTTTTGTTTTGTTTTTGGTGAAGGGAAAAGGTGGTGAACAGGAAGCCAGGAATGGAAAGGATTAAGAAGTAACTATATTTTCCAATGACTAAAGAAATAATCTCAGTGTATTCCTTTTCATGAAGATACAGTCAGACACTGGACAGATGAGACAGGGGTGTGCTACTGTAAATATTATACCTACAGTCAGAACAGTGGCTAGGTGACTCACGCATAAAGCTTGCTGCTAAAAATGAAAAGCTAAGGATACTAAGAAGCCTTGGGGGAGGGCTGTGGAAAAAGCACTGCTTTACCTGAATTGAAGGTCAATGGTATGTGTAATAACTGTGAGTGAGCACAGGAGAGAGGAAAGAAAAGAACAGAGTTAAAAATGAGCAACTCACCTTACCTCCTGACCCTGATTAGACAAGATCAGTTGTAAAGTGAGGGCCTCTCCACGACACCATACTTCTGCCCAATACTGCATCTGGGAGAAGAAAGTCTATACTTGGATGTTTAGCTTTGCCACAAAACACAGCTTAAAAATAAAATAATGGAAAGAAATAGAATTAAGCAAATAGTTATTTTTGCACTTGAACTGAAACGTACTGTACTGTAAATTATCATGACTCATTTTAAGTGACCTTTAAAATCAGATGTATTTATTATGCTTATGTAACTATAGAAATAAAGAAGTGGCTGACAGGCTGAACCTCACCTATGAATGTACAGTATGTGGATTTGTGACACTGACTTTAGGAAGTCAAAAACTTATACTGTGTCTTGTGTTTACAGTTCTGATTTATTCCTTTGAAAAGCCTGCTGTTTTGGAAATGCACAGTTGACATGTTGAAATAAAAATAAATATCATTTTTAAATATTTCTTAAATGATAAAGATGTGACCAAACAAATAAAAGCCCTTTACTCTGGAATAATTGAGACCAAATTCAACAGGCCTTTGTTATGGAACATTTACTATGAACGCTGATGTATTGATGCAGTAATTTCTAGCCTTTTTAGGGAAGATACCTTCATGGGGTTCTGCACTCTGTAACTTTTTCTTGCTGTCCTCAAAGTGCCATGTGGCATTTTAAAAAATATTAAGTGTATTCAAATTAAATTCTGATACTTTTATAACCCCAGTTGAGATCCCTTGGGAATCCCCAGAGTTGTCACAAAACCTGGGCTGATATAATCACTGTCTTAAGTCTTATTTCATACTCTTTCTCTTATGAGTGTAGAAAGAGTAAATTACTGGAGTCCTGAGCTTGTGTGGATCCAAAAAGGCTAGTTGCTAATTATCAAACTATTTATTCAAAGCCTTAAGTAGAATATTAGATGATTGTAACACACATAGATCCACTAGCGAGTAAACCTCAGGAATAGCCTAAGTGATTCATAGGAAGAACAACACTACTTTACTGGCTTACTACTCTCGCCATGGGCCACAGGAAGTGATTGCCTCAGCACTTCCCGGATTTGCAATTCCTCCAGTAAAGTGGGGTGGGGGCTGCTGGTGGTACTGGGACCATTACCTAAGCAGTATTCCTTCAAGCCAATCTGGAGTTAAGCAGTGAATCTTGGAAAAGGAGAACCACATCTACAGTTACTGGGTTTGGTTGTGTGCCGAGGAGATGATCTTTTTGTCCTTAAAACAACCCAGTGTAGCTCCTAGAATAGGAACTCCCATAATAGGAAGAGTCTGCAGCTAATAGAGCTTCCCTCATGGAACCGAGATCACAGAGCCAGGATTCAAACTGAAACCTGCCTGATGCCAAAGCTCAGGTCCACCCAGCACCTTCCCCCAGAAGGTGGGGAGGCCACTCCATGCTTCTGCTGTGGTAGAACAAGCTACAGAGCAGCCCTGGCCTGCACCTGTGCCTGATTCAGGTATGTGGTTCTATTTCCATTAGGATTTCTAGATATTCCAAGATACCTAGAAATCCAGTAACTTCAAACCCCTGGTGTTTTGTTAGTTGTGAGTGTCAGACCCCTTATACTCTGGAGGTAACTTGGATAGTCTGGCAACCCTGTAGACAAAACTTGGGAGGCTGGCCGGGACCCTGAAGGCCCATGTCACAGGAGTCAGGAAAGACAAGCCAGTACCCAGGAGCAACAGCTTTGGTAAAGCAGCACCGTCTGGTATGGTAGCCATTAGCCACAGGTAGCTATTAAGCACTTGCAATGTGGCTAGTGCATCTGAGGAATTAGATTTCTCATTTAAATTTAAACAGTCACATGAGGCTCATGGCTACCATACCTGGACACTGTAGTTCTAGAGGAAGAGATCATTTTGGGGTGATCTCTGGGCCTCAGTTCTCTCATCTTCAGTATGAGAGGCTGGACCCTAAAATTATGTTATTCTGTGAAGATGAGGCATGCTGTGTCAGAGCTGACTACAGGGAAGTGAAAAGTGATTTTCCCTTTAGAAGTTCTGTCCTTTGCTGCGTGGGGATAAGACAAAGCTACTTCGGAAGCCCCAAAACGCTCCTGTGCCATTTCTGCAAAGCTCTAAGATTACCTGACTCAAGAATTCCAAACCATCAAGCAGATGGGGAGACAGCGGGACCAAATAAAGGGGTGAGAGAAAGGGAGACTGGTTTCTCAAGTCAGAAAGTAATTTACCTTATGCCAGACAAACCGTGGCTTAAGAGAGTAACTGGAAATATGTTGATGTCTAGACTGGGGGAGAAATGAGCCCAGTCCAGGTGGCTAACTCTCACTCAGCTCTCATCTGCTTCAAGTGGCTAATGCAAGACCATCTGCACCACTGTGGCTCCAGGAAGATTTTAGATGGCAACCCAGGAACCTGACAGCGCTGGGGGTAAATTGTGGGTTCTGGAGTGCCACTGTCTCGACTTCTCAGCTCTGCCAGAGGAAATTTACATATATTCACAACCTCTCTGTGCCTCAGAGGCACTGTAAAATGACGGTAATTGTAATATCTGCCTTCAGGTTGTTTTGATGTTGAAACACAGAGGTACCTGACACACAGTGTGCACTATAAATACTGCCATCGTTGTGTGGCCAAGAGCCCATGGCAAGAGGAGTGCAGTCTCATTTCCCCAACCAGCACCCCGTTCTCTTCATAGTTTGTTAACACTGACATCTATAATAAGATCGCATTCCCCCGGACTACAGTGCTATGTTACGATGTTTGCCAACACCTAGTAAGTTGTACAGTCAAGCATTTGGTTCCAACGTGAATTATAATCATTAAGTTGGTTGCAGATATGAGTTCGTTAAGGGACAAAATTAAGCAAAATATAAGTTGAGGAGCTGGGGAAGAATGACAAGTAACAAGGGCCAAATCTATAGTGTGCAAAAGCCATAGACAGGAGAGGTTATAGGATATCTGTTCCACAGTTTCAATATTTCTTTTTTGTCTAAGAGGTGTCAAAAAGATGTAAGCAAGAGTTTTATAATCATTTAACAAGTTACATACCCTCTTTCCCAATTGTCAGCTATTATTCTCTTCACCTGTAAACTTGTATTTTAAAAAGGTCAGGAACTTTTTGTTCCCTGAAAATCTCAATGGGGGTAGGGGGGAAGGGTCTCAAAAAAATAACATGTAGACCAGTGCTACTCAACTCTAATTTACTTTTAGTGTACAAAAGTACAGATTTGCAGTAGTTTGGAGGCGGGGGAATTGGTCCATTGCCCCAGAGTTGGCACACACATAAATTCAGGAGATGTAGTCATCTCTTCAACTGATCAGCCACTTAACTTGACTTTGTTTTTTTAAAGATGGCAGGAAAGGAAATAGCAAGGGCACGGGCCCTGACACACTGAGCCTTACATTCTGATTATACCACTTTAGCTACATATGTCCTTTAGCAACCTTCTCCAAGTCTTTCCTCAGTTGAAAAATGGAAATAATGCTAAAGTATATTACAGTGATTGTAAGTCAAAATGAAGAGGCATAGAAAGTGCCCAGTATAGTACTTGACAGATCACCAATAAATGCTGGTTCTCCTCCCCTTTCTCCTTTTGATTATTGCCTTTCTGGAAAATGGACCAAATGTAAAAAATAGATTCTCCCAAATTATTTAAATAATAGTGGTTAAAATAGTGGGTGGCTCAGTTGGTTAAGCACCCGGCTCTTGATTTCAGCTCAGGTCATGATCTCACAGTTGTGTGGGGGGCCCCTGTGGGGCTCCTTGCTGGGTATGAAGCCGGCTTAAGATTCTCTCCCTCTGTCCCTCCCCCGCTTGTGCTCACGTGTGTGTGTGCTCGCACTCTCTCTCAAAAAAAAAAAAAAAAAAATTAAACAAGGGGTGTCTCTGTGGCTCAGTAGGTTGAGTGACTTTGGCTCAGTCCTGATCTCGCTGTTCCGGAGTTTGAGCCCCGCATCGGGCTCTGTGCTGACAGCTCAGAATCTGGAGCCTGTTTCAGATTCTGTGTCTCCCTCTCTTTTTCTGCCCCTCCCCTGCTTGCGCTCTGTCTCTCTTGCTCTCAAAAATAAATAAACATTAAAAAAATTTAAAAAAAAATTGAAACAATAAAGAGCAGCTATCCCATTGAATGTGTCTTCCAAGATGTATCCTACTAAATATACACTCAGCCCAAATCTCCTGTGACCTGTGAAGGCATCACATTCAGAGACCATAGCAAAAATAGGCAGTTACCTTAAAATGGTAACTAGATTCCTAAGCCAGAGAAAGACTGAAGATTTTAAGAACGTATCTGAATGAAGAACATGCCCAGTAGAAGGGGGTGGAGATGCTGGTCAGTGACAACAGGCACAGACAGGAAAAGCTGGCAGGGTCTGCATAAAGGAGGCCTGTGCCAAAAGATTTAGTACCTCATCACGTTAGGGTAGTCCCACTGAGGGATTAAATTAGACTTTTTGGCCTGGTGACATCAAACGCTTGAATTATGTAACAAACTCCCTTTGTTCTCTTTCTGCTCAAGCAACCTTATTCCTACTATTTGACCCCTCATAGATCTGTCTTCTGGGAGAGAATCTGCTGGTCTTATGAATTCAAGTGTTTTTATCCTTATGCTAGTTTTATTTTTGGCTGTGAGTCACTAAATACACTATATGAATTGGCTAACTCATGTGGTAAACTCATCAGTGTCATACCTCCTGGTGGGGGTCTCAGAAGGCAGCAGTGGGGTCACCTACAAACACCTCTCTATCTTAATGCAGGCATCTTCGAAATTCTACATCCATTATGTTATTTATGCAACAGCTGGACAAAAAAGGCTGATTTAAAAAACTGTACTTCTTTAGGAAATAACCTCATACACAATAATCCTTTTTCTTTTCTTAACACAACTGCAGGGGTCTTAATTTATGAACTTGTTTCAATATATTGATATAATCCATCATCTGTTCCAAGCCTCTTAAAAACTGAAATCTCTTAAATTTCTAGATTTTTTAAGAAAGGTCATAAATTGAAATACTGTCCTAAACATCAGATGGACATTCCCCTCTGATTTCAGCCCTTAGTATTATTGGCAAAGTGTACAACCAATTCACAAAGCAATTTTTGTGATATGTAAAATGTGTTTTAAGACATTTTAAAAATAACATTTGAATGATATAATTGTTTAAGCATGGCCCCCTTACGCTAAATCTCACCCACACATTTTGGTGTCAAATAGCCCCAACTTGCTAACAACAGTAAGCTTTTATGAGGCACCTTGCCTAAGCACTAACACAAAGCATCTGTTCTGTTTCGTAATTGCACACCTATGGCGATATGAAGCACGAAGCCAACTTTTAACTGTGAAGGGCAGAGCCATTTTACTGAATGGTCATTTAAACAGTTTAAAGGACTTTAAATAAAGGAGGGAGAGGGAGGTGGGAGGGGGAAGACAGAGAGAGGAGGGAAGGGAGAAAGGAAAGAAGAGAAAAAAGCTCTCCTATGGGAGTCATCGGTGTATTGCTTCACGGGGATTAGAACTGTGATCAGCACTATAATAAACCCCAAATCAAATGAACACAACAGAAATACACCAAATGTATCACAACTCATGCTTGTAACTGTTTTGCTTTTCACAGTACTCACATAACAGAAACTGACAAATCCATGATTTCCTCTAAAATAAACCTGAAAAACAGCATCCCAGAAGACTCTTGTACTCTTCCTCTCTTTAGCTGTTTTTATTGTGATGGTCCCACCCAGCTTGACCCACTATGGCCTCCTTCTGCAGCCAGCCCCTCTTCAACATGGCATAGGTAAGGCCCAGACTGCAACTGACTGTGCACACATCATTCAGACACACATTCTGCCAAAAACTGCCTCCTGGGAGGTGAACATGGTGAGCACAGCACTGATGCATCTGACACATTCATAATATACCGGCAATAAATTTAATTATAAAAAATTCAGATAAAACTATAACAAAAGTGTCAGACCTGTTTACACTTATAAAACAGTCATCATCATAATCATCATAAATTTGAATGGAAGATTCTTTGATATTTGAAATCAATCTATGTGAAAGCACAGATTGAATTTAGTGCATTTCACAAAGACTGCAGAACTCTTAATACTGAAAGGTGTCTTGTAAAAAGAGGAACTTGTAAAATACTGACACACTGCTTCAAAGAGAAAATATTTGAAAATCAACCTAGAAAGTTCCAAATGGGTAGCCATGGCTCAGGAAAGCAGCTCCTAAATTTTCTGTAATGTCCTTCCTCCGTATCCACATCCCTCCTAGTAAAAAGAGATTCCTCATTCTGTATGCCTCTTTAAGAACTCAACACAGCAAAACCTTCTTTAAGTGAATCAATTTAGCACATCTTAACCCTTAGATTGTTTTGCCATGTTCAGATCTTTTCTCAGCTCTTAGTTTTGGCCTTCTTTCCCCAGGGTCAAAGCTCAGGGTCATTTCACTCCGGAGAATCAAGAAAAAAATATGTGTTCTCTGAAGAAAGATCACAAGTCTGTTGTGTAGGAAACTGTTACAAATATATATAACTAAATTTTAAAAATGGACCAGTCAACTCAAAATGTCACAAGAGGTTAAGTGTCTTCAATTGCAATATACAAAAAATTATAGAAAATAATTATTTCTAAAATTTATATGTCTATAAAAATCTTATCAAACTTTAAAATATAATCTTAGGAGGGGCGCCTGGGTGGCGCAGTCGGTTGGGCGTCCAACTTCAGCCAGGTCACGATCTCGCGGTCTGTGAGTTCGAGCCCCGTGTCAGGCTCTGGGCTGATGGCTCGGAGCCTGGAGCCTGTTTCCGATTCTGTGTCTCCCTCTCTCTCTGCCCCTCCCCCGTTCATGCTCTGTCTCTCTCTGTCCCAAAAATAAATAAAAAAAAAAAAAAAAAAAAAAAAAAAACGTTGAAAAAAAAAATTTATAAAAAAAAAAAATATATATAATCTTAGGAAATGTTCTCTATCATAGTTATCAAATAGATAGTTGTCCATTATTAAAAAATAAAAAAGTCACCAATACTGTGAGATCCAAGGCTGTAGGGAGATGGCCCCTAGGCTCACCTCTGAAGGTCTCTTCTTAACCTGAGTTGTAGGTAACATTAGGGCTGATGTCTAGTCCCAGTGCTGCCTCTAAATAGCTTTGTAGTTTTGGACAAGTTATTGAACCTCCCCAAATCTCAATTCTGCCATCATTAGCATTTTCCAAACTGCTCCAAGGAATATCAATCTCACGGAAAAGGGTTCTGTGGTCAAATTAAGTCAGAAATGGCAGCACACAGTTTCTATCCAGGAGATTGACAACGTGCATCGTCAGTATTAAACGCTCTGAGAAGTCCTGTGGTACATTTGTTTAACTTTGTTACTATCTTAGTTGACCTCACAATCCCTTTACTGACTAGCACTTATTAGCACCCTGTGGATTATACTTTGGAAAACACTGGTCCAGCATATCTCAGGTCTCTTCCAACACTTATATGCAGTCTTCAGACACAGGTTCTGAGGTTAAGATTTAATGCCTGGTGTTGACAAGGCAGATGTTCATGTTAACTTGCTCTTTGAAGATCAACATGATTCTCTTGTTCCTAATGAAAGTCTTCATTCAAGGAAAGTGGCAATGACTCTCACAAAATCTTGATGACTACAATAAGTAGCAGAACTCACCAAGAACGAGAAGTTATCTTCAATAATGTTTAGTTTTCCTTTCCAGTATGACTCTTCTCCATAGCAAACCTAGAACCGTTCTGCCCAATGTTAATAGGATCCTTGCCCTTAGCCCATTTCTTGTCCAGAATGAAGTCAATGGTCATCAGGCAGTCCTCAGGTTAAAAAGCTGTTCTTCCAAGAAGGCGCCCCCAAAACCATATTGCTCTTCATGCAGACTAATTTCTTCAGGCGACAAGTGGCTTCCTCCAAGAACAAAGTCTGCAAATCTAATAAGTAGTTTTTTTGTTTTAAATAAAGTTAATGTTATCACAGAAAGGTTTATGTGGAAGATAACACGTTCTCTTGCTATTTATCCTCTTTTTAATTAAATTTGACTTTACATCAATAGAGAATGGCATTTATACATTGGGTGTAAAAATGGGAATGGCTTAGGTGATCCCTCTGGAGATATTCAGAGAAAGAGCAGAGAAGGAGGCTGACTTACGAGCACTGACTGCTGCCTATCCTAACGAGTCCTGTTTTCTAATTCCTTTTCTCTTATTAGAGTCATTATTCATTCATTATTTTAGTACATCAATACTTTCCCCCTTCAATGTTTAATTTGAGGGCACTGTTATTTAGATAAAACTATGAAGGAAGGGAAGCAGTAAGGAAAAAGATTTTGGGACAAAGATGTCTTTCCTGGTAAGCTTTGACAATTACTTTCGACACCAGTCACTTCTCATGTGGAAGTTATGTTTACGACCGTCCGTATCAAACATCAGGTCACTATTTGTCCTGACATTAGCAGCTCTGTGCAAGTCAGAGCACTGAAGAAAGAGCAGGGCCACTGACAGTTTCCGCATCATGGGTTCTCCTGGGCAGCAGTCTGTTCCTAATGTGAAGTACCTGTAGCAAACCGTCACAGTGTTTTCACAATCATCCCAACCCCAGTGTGGTCCTGGCAGCTGAGCAGGGCTTACTTGTTAGGAGCCTGGAGTCTGGAGACTACCAGCCACGTGGGGAAGTCGGGCCTGCGGCAGGCTCCACGCAGCTCCTCCAGGGCGCTGCTTGTCTCAGCATCAGCCTGTTCCCGGTATTCATCTTCAGTCAGATACTTAAACACTGGCTTCTTGGATGTCCACCATTTCTTCATTTTCCTAAAACATGTGGCATTTGGTTGCTAGATTCCTGGTCATATTTGACTGCTCAATTCAACCCTTAAGATTTATAAAACTACATTTCTTAGAAAGTAACAGTAATACTTAACTTCCTTGACACCACACTATACTTTTTTATGGTTCTTACTGTGACTATGGAATACAGAACATGCAGTTCGGGCTAATAGTACATATCTTCTCTTCCTGGACCATCCTAAATAATGTTCTTAGGAATTTGAGACTCAATTTCTGATAGACATGTTAATTGTATTCTCAGTAATTTTCAATCGCACAATCAGATCATTGAAAGTTTGGTTTCCTTATGCTTGGCCTGCTCATTATCTTGGGCACTAACAGAAGCAAATCTTTTGAGATACCGTTTTACAGAGACCTGGTAGAATTCATGGCCACTTACTTGCTAGACCTAAAGGAAAAAAAAAAAAAAAAAAGGAAGATTTGTGGGATATCACCTCCACCTAGTGGTGGTGATTCTGACTAATCCTAGAGACAGGGAGTAAATACCATACAAAGGTCGTTTGTGTAGAATAATTTATAATTCCTCCTTTGCTTACATGCTAAGGGGCTCATTATTGGAATTTTCTTTTTGAATCAGGAAAGTCCTAAAGGGGAGAATCTCATAAAGATGGTAATGATGATAAGGTTTTAACACATATGTTACATTTATCAATGAGTTTTTAAAAATGTTCTTGGGTGGTTTAAAATTTAACCAGAGATTCCCAAATCTGGATGAGTACAAGAATTACCAGGAGGTGGTTAAACATATATTTTCTTGAGTGTTGGGACCTGAAAAGTCTTTTAAAGATTGTGTGGTGGATGATGAGTCAGATTGAGGAACCACCAATATTGTTTCCTTTTCCTTGTCTGAACACCTAGCCTGGTCTCCCTAGAGGAAAACCTCTGGTCTCTGAGCAGAAGACTGGGACACAGTCCTGGCTTTGAGTTTTACCCACTGTATCAACTGAGGCAACTATTAACAGCTCTGACCCTCACTTTGCTCATATGAACAAAGTGAAAGCAATAACATCTACCTCACAGGACACCTGGGTGGCTCAGTGGGTTAAGTGTCCAACTTTGGCTCCGGTCATGATCTCGTGGTTTGTGAGTTCGAGCCCCGTGTTGGGCTCTGTGCTGACAGCTTAGCCCAGAGCCTGCTTCAGATTCTGTGTCTCCCTTGCTCTTTGCCCCTTGTGCACTTTTGCCATCTCTGTCATAAATAAATAAACTTAAAAAAATTTTTTTTTAAAATATAACATCTAAACCTCATTAGGTCACTATACAGGTTAGATGAGATATTTTGTGTAAAGCGAGTGGCCTATAGTAAGTGTTCAATAAGGATAATCAAGAGAGTAGCTACCATATATTAGGATATATTCAAACAGCTCTTTGTAAAACTAAAATACTGTACAAATCAAGGTATTATTTCTCTGGTTTGTTATTTATGTTCCTGTTTTGTTGTTGTTTTGTCTTGTACTTGTTCACATAATTATTCATTAGCAAAATGAAAAGCTAAAGAAGTTACAAAACATTTTATTAGGTTTGTGTTAACAGAATGCACAGCAAATGCATAAAAGGACCATCACACAGGTAACAGAACACACCTTACACTTGGTGAGGCAGCTGGAGGTTTAAAACAAAAGGGGTCCAAATGCTAACCCGTGTTCCTCAAGCCACAAGCCTGGCAAAGGACCCAGGCCTGGGGAATGTGGATGGCTAGCCTCCTCCTAGCAGAGGGACCTCTGGTAGTCCCAGTCACCTTTGGCCTCTGAGGCAGTGCAGAGAGCAGCTAGCAGCAGCCCCTCTGTCCCAGCCTCGCTACCTTGCAGTCTTGCCAACATTCTCTGCACAAGGGCCCTGTCCTGTCACTGGCTATATGTGTAGTAGCAGATCCATAGACTACAATTACCAGAGTCTCCTTCCTCTCAGCCAGGTTTACCTCATAAATATTTATTAACACCCTCACTCCCTCACTGTCTCTCTGCCCGACTCTGGGCCCTCATCACCTCTTGCCTGGACCGCTATGATGTCACTGTCCCAGGGCCTCCCGCTTACATCCACCCTCTGTGCCAGAAGGCAGATGGGCCACATTCTGCCACCCAATGAGGTTCATGGTCTCTGCTTTGATTGTGTTAACTGTATTTTTATTTTTAGATTAGTTGCCAACATTTAAAAATAATAAGAATTCACATTCAAATCCATATTTCCAGCTTTTCTAAAAAAAAACAAAAGACCTGGCAAGGCAGGGCCCATATTCCTATGTGGTAATAATCAGCTCAAGCTGAGTAGTAATTGCCCCCTTACTGATGAGGTTGCATTGTAGAATTTCTCACAGTCCTCATGATGGCCCCACTGACTCACCCCTGCTCAGCATCACCCAGTCAGGACCAGCCCCAAGCATTTGGATTTGTAATTCTGGTCTAGGCAGCAGGCAGAGAATGCTGACTGCATTGCAGAATGGCTTCTTGCCTCCACTATGCACAGGATCAGACTAGATTCTTTAACACAGCCTGTGATGCCTCCACAACCTGGCCGACGGCCACCTCCCTTGCCTGCCTCATGATGCTACCAAACTGGGCTTTCTCCCTGTCAGGGAGGTCCTTCCCACACTTATTCACCCGGCTGTTTTAATTTATTAAGGTTCAGCCCAGTAATATCTCTTTCAGGAACTCTCCTGAACTCTATGTGCCATAGTCCCTGAACAGGCATATTTTTAACACTCCAAAGATACAGAAACGCATGCTGATGGCTCAGCAAGTACACCTCAAGGGTAGCGACTATCTCCTTCATCTGTGCACCTGACACAAAAACAGGTGTTCAGGCTCAGTGACTAAGGAGAGACATAATACAGTTGTGACAACAGAAGCTACCTCATCTCTCTTTCTGTATTTTTCATTTTCTTTTTTTTATTTTTTATTTTTTTTTTTTAATGTTTATTTATTTTTGAGACAGAGAGAGACAGAGCATGAACGGGGGAGGGGCAGAGAGAGAGGGAGACACAGAATCGGAAACAGGCTCCAGGCTCTGAGCCATCAGCCCAGAGCCCGACGCGGGGCTCGAACTCACGGACCGCGAGATCGTGACCTGGCTGAAGTCGGACGCTTAACCGACTGCGCCACCCAGGCGCCCCGCTTTCTGTATTTTTCAAGGGCTTAAGCCTTAACTTTATTTAAAAAAAAAAAAAAATTTTTTTTTTTAACGTTTATTTATTTTTGAGACAGAGATAGACAGAACATGAACGGTGGAGGGTCACAGAGAGAGGGAGACACAGAATCTGAAACAGGCTCCAGGCTCTGAGCTGTCAGCACAGAGCCCGACGTGGGGCTCGAACTCATGGACCGCGAGATCATGACCTGAGCCGAAGTTGGACACTTAACCGACTAAGCCACCCAAGCGCCCCTTAAGCCTTAACTTTAAACCTAAAAAAACCCAAAAAGTCCTAAGCATAAACAATACATTCATTTAGCTCTATTTCATAAGCACAACAAATACCTTTAAAGCAATCTTGGGTCCTAATGAAAGGAAATGTAGAATAAAAGTAGAAATTGTAGGCAACCCAGAACCCAAGTAATTTTGCCCCTGATCTTAGTAAGTTCTAGGTGAGCTGTAATTACCTAGTATTTGGGGGTAGACCTCTGAAAGATTAATGAAGACTAGAAATGGAGATGGGATTAGATGCTTAAATTCTCTATCCTCTTTCTCTCCCAAATCCCCAGATGAAATGTAGTTAATTGTGAGACTAAATAGGACACATCCAAGAAACTTCCCCAAACAATAAAGAAAACCAGAACTCAAAATGTCACATTTACAAGGAGAAAAAAGATACGCACCACCTCATATAAGTGAACGCCTTCAGTGGGTAGCGTAGACTCCTGGAGGCCAGGATGAGGATCAGAGCTGCATAGTAGCCCTGGGGCACGGTGACTCCACAATAGACCAGAACCAGGGCGAGGAGCCGCAGTGTCCATGTCAAAAGAGTCACGCTCCTTTCATCAACCAGGGGCCCATGCTTATAACAAACAGCAAAGCTGAGAAATCCAGCTACCAAAACATAGCCTGTAAAAGCAGAAGAACTTGAAAATCTGAACCTGAAAAGTTATGTGAAAGATCCTGGTAGAGCCTTGACTTAAGCAGAAAACCTTCATTTGTGTTTTCTTTTCCCAAAGAAGTAAGGCTGAAAAACACGTAGAGGGCTAGTTATTCCTTCAATGTGAGATACTGTGCTGAATTTTTGTGATAATTAGGGTTGTCTAATAATAAATTATTATGATAGGTATATTTTTTAGTTCAGAGTCCTAGATGGGCAAATGTTACCATAGTTCCTTTGGTCAGGAATAAGCCTCAGCATATGTCACAGTTGGCTACAAACCCTATTTTTTCATTTTTGCTTTCTAGTCAAAAAAAGAAAATATAGTGGAGGGATCAGTCTATACCCCCCTAATACAGTGCTCAGTTTCTACATTAATAATGGCAGGATGATGAGATATTCTGCATCCTCCCTCTGATCTGATGTGAAATACACATCTCCTCTGATGTATACTATGAAAAATGGTTCACTTGTGTCTAAGAAAGCCTCAAGATCTAATTTCCAGTTTAGGAAATACAGGGGAGAGAGGAGCAAGTTAAATTATACCACAAAGGAGTAATCAGAAAAATCCAGACAGTTGGGACACTCTACAGGACAACTAGTCTCTTCACCAGAGCACAATGATGAAAAAAGCAATTGTTATGGATTAAAAAAGACCTACAAGACATAATACACGCAAAATATGGTACTGGACTATATCCCACCTTATACAGACCAACCATCAAGGACGCTGGGGAAATCTGAACATGGCCTGAGTAATTTATGTAATTATTGATTTTTTTAAGATTTAATAGGTATTTAACTATAGAAGAAAATGCTCTTTTTTTTTTAGAGATGTTTATTGAAATATTTAGAAGAACATACCATGATATCTGTAATTTACTTTAAAAATACTTAAGCATAAAAAGAAAAATGAGCTAAAGACATAAAAATCTTCAGTTAAAACAAAAATTGATTGCTTCTGTTTTGGGTGGGTGAACTTATATGAGAAGTTTGGCACTAAGGGCTTAGGAGAAAGTTGACCCTCCCATTCTCCATTATTCCCCAATTAAAACAAATAAATAATTTTTAAAACTTGTTCATTTGTTTTTGCTTTCAGGAAATAAGAACAAGTGGTTTCTTAATAGCTTCTCTGTTTCTGAAAGTTCAAGTTTTCATTAGTAATTTATATTTAGGATTTTTCACCTTTCATGCTGAATACATTAAGAAAAAGAAAGAGTCATGATTCAAAGCATAAAAGCAGTCAAAAGGGACAAATACTTTTTTGCTCTTTTCATCATTAGTACAGAAAACTAAGAAAGATGTCATTGGGAAACAGACTAAAATGAGATCTAAAAGGGTTGCCTGGGTGGTTCAGTCAGTTGGGTGTCCAACTCTTGATTTCGGCTCAGGTTGTGATCTCACCGTTTGTGAGTTCAAGCCCCCCCATCAGGCTCTATGCTGACAGGGAGAAGCCTGCTTGGGATTCCCTCTGTCTCTCTCCTCTCCTCTCTCCCTCCCTCCCTCCCTCCCTCCTTCTCTCTCTCTCTCTCTCTCTCTCTCTCTCTGTCCCTCCCCCACTCATGCTCTCTCCAAATAAATAAATAAACAAACTTAAAGAAAAAGAGAGATCTAAAGAACTGAAATCATCAACTGTGGGAATAAAATAAAATGTTTTTAACAGCACTTCTTAGTTCAAAAGGAAAATTTAGATGCTAGAGAGAAACATACTTCCAAAGGAAGGCCTCTTAGTTATACTTTCAGCTTTGTCAATAATACATATATATATATATATATTTTTTTTTTTTAATTACCTACCTAATATATATATTCTGTTTTCATGCCATAGCCACTTCAGATCTTCCATCAAATGGCATACAACATAAACTGAAGCAAACCAACAACCAACCATTAGAGCCCAAAAGGTGCTATACTGTGTGTGAAAGAGAATAAATGACACAGGTTTTGGTTCATTCACTCTCACAAAAATAGGAGGAAACAAATAAACCCTTTATATTATTAGAAACTTCTACAACACACTGCACTGAGGTCAATTCAAGGTGCTCTCTGGTGTCTTGTTAAAGTTATGGCCCATGAACCAGCAGCATTGGCATTACCCGGGAGCTTGCTGGAATGCAGACTCTTGGGCCCCATGGCAGACCCCCAAATCACAACCTGCATTTCAGCAGGATAATACTCAGGTAACTTGCATGTATACTAAAGGTGGAGGTGGAGAGGCACTGTTTTAAAGAATAAATTTATCTCAAAATAATGCCGGTGTTGCAAGCTTTAATCAGAGTATCTGCAACTTTATCAACATTAACTAATATTTATCCTCAACTAAGTGCAGGGCATTCTTTCGTTAAAGGTGTTTCGGGGAACTAATAATAATGAAGAAATCCCCAGTTGTAGCAATGCTGTTACTCAAGGCCTTGATGGTTCAGCATCACGACATTCCTCAGCTCTGTCAAGATAAGAGAAATTTCTACTCAGCATAGAATCAGCCCCCACCATTCCTAAGAAAGATCTACTACCTGAAAGTAAAAGGGTCTTGGGGCAACTGGGTTGCTCAGTTGGTTAAGCGTCCAACTTTGGCTCAGGTCATGATCTCACAGCTCCTGAGTTCGAGCCCCGCATCGGGTTCTGTGCTGACAGCTCAGAGCCTGAAGCCTGCTTCAGATTATGTGTCTCCCTCTCTCTCTGTCCCTCCCCTCCCTGCACTCACACTCTCTGTCTCTCTCTGTCTCTCAAAAATAAGTAAACATTAAAAAAATTTTTTTTAAATAATGGGGTCTCAAAAAAGTATCACCAAAAGTTGTATTTACTTAAGGGTATACATAATAACAAATAAAAATGGAATCTCTAGAAAAAGATACATTTTAAAACCAGTTTTGTAATACAGTGTAGAAATACAGTTTGAATTTGGAACTGTCATAATCAATGTGATTAACTTTGATCCATTTTTCTTGTCTATGAGATCATGGTTTCCCTCTTTTATTCATTTATACACAGTATGCCTACCTTAGGAATAAACCTTTTCACCAGAAGCAGGACAAAGACTAACGTCATTAGAACACCTAGCACGGTCCCAGAAGAGTAAAAGAAAATAGGACTTCTGTCAAAACAAGCAAATACAAGCAATTTAAATGCCAAGCAGCACTTTCAGTATTAAAACTGTTTAACCTGACGATAGCAACTATAAAGAATACGAAGAAGAAAAACTCAGATGTTAGTTTTAATTAGATCCTATACTCTTAAAAAATGAAATTTCTATACTTGAAATTTATAGTCAATAGCTTGCCACTAACTCAAAACAAAATGTCTGAGTTATCTATGTTTAGAATCTGATCCAAGAATAATTACTGAGTGCCTACCATGTAGCAGGCACTTGTCTGAGAGCTCTGCATGCATTCACAACAGCCCTGTGAAATAGTTATCCATGTCAAAATTTTACAGAGGAGGAAGCTAAGACACCAAGAAGTTAAAGACCTTCCATAAGTCAGTATCTGCCAACTGGAGGATTCAGGCTTATAGCCCATCTCCTCTGAGTCCAAGCTTTACTCTGCAGGCTATGTAACTAACATTGGTTTTATAAAGGCCATGGATTACATTAAACATACTTAATTGCACTACAAGAAAGACGAACAGTATTAAGAATAGCAAGCTAAGAAGTAAAATATTATTGGAAAAGGACTCCTTTTTCATGAAAGAAGTTGTAATAAACAAAATATCAGGATGCTATGTTTATCTAAGAGTCAAACCTTCTGTATCAGAGCCACAAATGTTGGAGGCAGCTTGAATCTAATAGAGAGAGCAAGCATCTGGTATCAGAAAACCTGAATATAAATCTCGGCCCTAGCAAGAACTAGTCAGTGATGATGAATGTTGGTTTTCTCATTGATAAAATGAGAACAATAATGCAAAGTTCACATAATGAAGAGGATCAAATAAAAAATGTACATTAATACGTAACACAAAATGATGCATGTAAAAGCATGCTGTAATATATACGTACATATCATGTGTACTGTTTCTGGTTTTAAAAGGCCTTTCAAGCACTATCTTCAGAACTACTGTTTGTAAAACCTAAAGCAAGAACTGCAAACTAGTGTGGAAATATTTAGCATAGGGTCAAAATTGTCCTATACTCTTTTTAATTTATAAAATTAACAAAATAAAAAGGGATACTTACCTACTCAAGGTCTTTGCATAAAAGAAGAGTAAAATACCTGCTACAAACACAAGGAAGAGTTTGAAATCCACAACTGGAATAAAAAAGACACACACACACAACAAAGACTTTGTGTCAATGTAGTTGGTAAAAGAAAAGTCACTTTATTGAAATGTCACTCCAGAAAAACTAAATCCATAAAATCAAGTATAATGAAAACAGACTTACTGTTTCGATTCACACTAATTGTATAGATAAATATCTTCCTGACAGGCTTCACAGAGAAGCACATGGTCTCTCCATATGGATTGATGATTATAGTAACTTCATTAGACTCCTTTGGTGTCCAAAAATTATGAATCACACATTTGATAAAAGATAGAATGGTTTCTGGATACTGACAATTATGTCTTCCTGTGATATATGCAATATTGAGCAGACCTGAACTGGTAATTTTCACCTATAAAATAAGAACAAAGAAATCCATAAACACAGAAGTTAAAACTTCTCATAAGCTCCTTCAAATCATAAGCAGAGGAGTAAAGAGAGCCCAAGATAACTGGATAAAGAACACTCAGATATACACGATCCCAGGGATCCCAGGGATGGACCTACAGATCTGTGTTTAGGTCAAACGCACTGAGCACAGAGACTTTTGAAAGTGGTTATTTCTTCCCCTGAGTTGTAGGTGACTTAACTCCCTCCTGTAGCAAGTTGTTGTGGTCAAGGGACATGTGAAAAAGGATGACAAAAGTAATAGGTGGCAAACTATTTGGTTATAAACATGAGAACAGGAATTATGTCTCTACCATTTTCTACTGTGTTGTGAGAAAAAGCACTTCCTTCTGGATCAGCTGAGCATATGTAATTCAGGCTTCTCTCCCCATGCCTCCCGAAGAAGGACCAGAATCCAACCACAGGTCCTATTCCAGTCTCACAACAAAGTACTGGCTACAGTACCAAGCAAACAGTGACAATCCAGTGTCCATTAAAGAACAATTCTGCTGCTGCCTTTCTCCCTCTCTATTCCTCTTCTCTGTCCAAGAGTAAGGCAAGCCTGAAAAGGATAGTGAGATCACCAACTCTGAAGACACGGCATCAGGTGATATAACCCATTACCTACACTCATTTCTCCTGGACTTTAGTTCCTGGCTCACTGATGCTCTCTCTCTAATACTATTTCCTGTCATATTTCTCAGGGTTCAATGTGTTTATTATGTACGCCAAACTCGTTCCAATGCTCTGATTCTCAGCATCTTGAGCTCCTACCCTCTTATGCTTGTTCTCTGCCCCACCTCAGCTAACTACTCCCACGGCCACACCCAGGACCTTGTTCATACCAAACTACAGCCCCACTACAGGTTGTTTCATGCATCCCACTGGCTGACCACCAACTCCTACCTTTCTAGCATGCCCTGTATAGTACCTCGACCCCAGTAATATATAGTACCTCGACCCCACCATGGATCAAGCCATTTTTCCCCTGCTCCTCACCCCTTTGATGTCCTTAGCCCCTTCTTAATCCAGCTAAATTCCACGATCGATCATTACAAATCATTCTCTTGCAGGTACCCGACTCATTTGCACTGCTCTTGCTTTGTCACATCCACCTGCAAAATCCAACTCTCCACCCATTCTACTCTCGGCATTTGTACCACCCAATGGTGCTAGATAAACACATAGTAGCTTGACTTCAAGCCCCTGAGTGGGAACCTGAAGTGGGACCTGCAGCTATAGGCGATCACACCACATTCCTATCTACTCTCCACTCTCTTCAACAAAGATTTCACAGCTTTTCCTTCCTCAACACCAATACCTCCTCCCCTTCCTCACTCTCCACTGAAAATGAAAGAAGCCAGAAGAGAACATCAACAGGTTCCTATCCCCACCTCCACCCACCCGGCAGCACCTGCAGGCCCGTGCTCTGCTTCCTGCCTGTGGGGAGGAACTTTCTGCCACAGAGGAGACTTAAAGAAGATTCTCAAGGCACAGAATCAGACCCACCTCTGTCCACTCAAAGACAGCCTACCAGGGGTGCCTGGGTGGCGCAGTCGGTTAAGCGTCCGACTTCAGCCAGGTCACGATCTCGCGGTCTGTGAGTTCGAGCCCCGCGTCAGGCTCTGGGCTGATGGCTCGGAGCCTGGAGCCTGTTTCCGATTCTGTGTCTCCCTCTCTCTCTGCCCCTCCCCCGTTCATGCTCTGTCTCTCTCTGTCCCCAAAATAAATAAACATTGAAAAAAAAAAAAATCACAGGTCTACACAGAAGTATCCTCAGAGAAGTGTCACTCCCCCTCATTTCTCTATCATTCCTATCCAACCCTTGTGGGTAGTCAATATTACTAGCTTCTGTCTTTCCTGTGTTTCTTTTTTCAAAACTAAGCAGTGATGCATGTTTATAGACAGTGCTAAGGAGTGGGTTTAGATGGAGAACCAATGGCTGAGCCTGGGTCAGTCTTAAATGAAGAGGTCAGGGAGGAGGAAGAGGCCAACAGAGGAGAGAGAGACAAGGAGCAACAGGTGAAGATGTCCAGGACGCTGTGGGAAGAAGTGTTACAAGCAGGGCCAAAATGCTGTTGGTGGATCAAATATGATGACGGAGAATGCACTGGCCTTTTGATTTAGCAACATGGAGGTCCCTGGTGACTTTGTCAGGGACAGCCTGTTGGAAACGACACATTGGAAGAGGGTTAAGGAGAGAATGGAGAGGAGAAGAACTGAAGACTGCAGGTATGGGCAACTTTTTAAAAGAATCTGAGTGCACTGGGAAGCAAGGGGATAGCTGGAGGGGAAAGTGGCTTTTTTGTTTTTCAATGGAAAAGCTTCAACATGTTTGTGTCCTGATAGGAATGGTCTAACAGAGAGGGACGAAGTGCTGGTAGGATGTCTTTTTTTTTTTTT